TTGAGATGGTCTCATAAAACTTTGATGACAACAAAAATGTTTTCATTCATAGGCCGATAACAGCTACATAGTAATAAATTATGTAATTAGTTAAGTTTCTCTTGACTAGTGATAGTGATTGGTTGTCTGCTTAGTCAGACATGTAGATAATCTGACAAGTGTCAGATAAGTTATATATATCCGCTTATCCTTATAATTACTTATTGTTGATTGTTCACTGTTGTTGGATTGTGTCGGGTTATGGTGTGGAAATATATTTACGTTGTGGTCAGGCTAATCACGTGCTCTAGATCTGAGTTATGTTGAAGTCCTGTAGAGTAGACAGTAGGAGGGAATCTAGTGTAGATATTTGGTCTAAGGTAAATTTACGTCCCATACGTGTAAACGTGAAAAACCAACCGTTATAACAACTAGCCATACGCTCTTACATACTCGAAAAGATGTAGATTCATTAAACACTAGAAATACATTCAAAACTCTTCCTCAATATGCTTAATTTTATGATATCGATTTACTAAATGTAAATAAGAAGACAATGAACATAGAACATATTACTTTAAACAAGTGAAGAATATTTATTTCATTCATACTGTAGCTATAGCTTTTATTTAATAAATTTGAAGAAGAGTTTTAACACGCACGCGAATTAATACTAAGATCAATAAAGGGGAGAGAAAATCAAATATAGAACAAACTATTCAGATTAGTTTAATATAAAAATAATAGATTGATAACTATTTCATCTTTCTTATATCTAGGTCAAATTATTTTTTACTTCTCATATCTTCTATCTATCTATTTATCCTTTTATTTCTTTTTCATTACTCTATTTTAATAACCAAGGTTGAATCCTCAATACATATTTCTCTTTTTTTTCCTGATCTTTATGCTTTCTATATTGTTTAGTATATGTTTTGTTCAATTTGAGATTAAATTTTCTTGTCGCCCTTCACAACCAATCAAATGGAGAGATTGGATATTTACAAATAAACAAGAAAAAAAAATCGATTTCAGCCTACTTTTTCTTTTCTATTCAAGACTCAATTATAATAGGTATATATATATATACATTTATCATTTTCGCTAGTAGAACTTTGATAATTTGCCCCCTTTCATTATAGAATGATTTAAATCTTAAATAGCTATTAAAACGTTAGTTAATGTTGTTAGCAATACTTATATAGGTTCATTGAGTTTACTTCATACTGATAAATTAGAGAGATTATCTTTTCATAATTCTCTTTCATTATTAAATAATAAATGATACATAACTATTTTGAATAGCTTAAAAATAACGAATATTATTGCATTCGATTTTTTAGGTAGAAATAGTATTCATTTTTCTTAGAATAACTGTAATTAAAACAATGGCTAGTAAAATGAATACAACCAATCAGAATACATATGTAATGCGACAATGACATTTTAAGTATTATAGATGTATTGTTTTGTTAAAGTGAATCTAGATATTATACAATGTGTTTTTCTCATAGAAATTGACTCAATGAGGAGTATATTCACTTTTAATAAAAAACACGAACAAGATCAATATTGGTATATGGATCTTCTGAATTAGATTTATATGGCATTATCCTAGATACATATATTGAATCTTATTATAACGTCTGAATAACTCCAAAACCCAGCAATAAAAAAATAATGATGAATCTTCTAGATCTTGCAATACATGAGTGTATCGTGCCAATTAGAATTTGAATAAATAATCAAAAGCGTTCAAATTCCGATGATCATTGATTTAAAAAAATTGGAACACATTTGCTGACTAACTTTCAATTTTATTGTCAATAAATGAATATTGGTACAGTATTGCACAAGCTAAAACCATGAAATTCTCTTGTAAGGATCTAGAATGTATTTTCATTCGAAATTTCCAACAGATCAAATCCATTTTAATAATAACAAGTGAGGATACAGCTATTTAAAAAAACTCAATATACAGAGCAAAACTTCAGATTTCCTATTATGTGCTTTTCCGACCTAACAGAACAATTTTCTCCGCATGAATTTTAACATTAGGACTCTACTTGAAGTATTTATCATTATTAACAAAATTTTACGAAGAGATTCTTAAATGAGCATCAAACGACTCTCTTCCTCTTTGTTACTAAGAACAGATGAGACTCTGTAAGTTGTTTTCTCTCAGTATATAGAAAAATAATATTTAGTAATCACTGAGATCGTCAAATGAATTCTATCTTTTACATGACAAAAAAGCTGGCAGAGTCTATCGATAAATGTTTGTGAAGTTCACAAAGAATTTAAAATGTCTTCATTTACTTAAAGCTTATCTGTATCTTCTGAGTATTTTCAGTGAATATAGAGGCTGTTCCTGTGATGTTATTTCTCAATCCGATTGATCAAGAACTGAATTATCGTTATATTTTTTTATTGTGTCTAGAAACCAAATGTTACAAGAAACCATTGACATATAACTTGATTTCTATAAATGAATTAAATTTGAAATTAACTTTGTGGCATATTTTTTTCATGATTCAAAAATTGAACATTTATGGGTCTTAGAAAACTGTTAAGGGCATAATATGAATAGCACACATTAACATGAATTCAAATATCCCGATCCTATCGAGGCAAAACAATACTTTTCAAAAATACGGAGCACAGAAATTACACGTTACAAAACTTGATTATTTAAGAATCTATACTGGTAAAATGTTACAGAAGAGTACAATAACCGTGAAGAATAGAAATGATTTTTCATTAATGAATGTGGTAAACTACTATTGAAGTTAATAATAATAGTGAGATATATATTAGGCCGACTAAAATTTCATTCAAGTAAAGATGATAGCTGCTTTAAACAGTTTCAGTTACAATTCGGTTTTACTAACAGACAACTTATAATAAGAAAAAACCAAACTTTTAGTAATATAGTATTATCTTGCGAAATTATTTATAACATCAACCAATCATACAATATACACAGACATAATCATGTAACAATAAATTTGAAAAATTTCTAATCATTATTGTTATTTATTAAAATGTCAATTCATAATTTTTATGCAGATTTATGCTTGTAGGTATAAGTAATTCAAAAGATCTGTGTACAAACGAAAGAAATACACAGAAAGAGAAAAGAGGACAATTTCGAAGAGAACTCCTATAGTAGTAATAATAAGAAGAAAACATTTGACAAAAACAAACTAACAAATAAACAAAAAGAATAGAAAGAAAAGAGAATTATTTGGTTTAACTTTATTTTTTAGTGAAGAAAATCTATCAATTTTCACAATAATTTGTACGACAGCAATATGAATCCAAACAGTATCGGTAAAAGTAATAATAAGAGAATAATGATTTTATTTTAGCAGATCGATAGAAAGAGGAAAGAATAGTTGTCAAGTTTACTGACTTATTTATGATTAGTTTATTGGAAATAGAGAATTACTGATAGCAGCAGTATGAGTAGTATTAGAAATAGTATGCATGAACGTAAATAAACGGCAATGTTATGCAAAATTTTTAGAAATTACGACCAAATATTAGTAGCAGTATTGGCAGTAGTAATAATAATAATAAAGATGAAATATCAATAAAAGCAATAACAAACACAAAACGTGAAATGCGAATTAATCAAAACAATATTATTCATAATTATGATTACGTTTTATTTCTGAAATCAGAATTGGAATAAAAAAAATTCAATAAACTCCTAACAGGTGGAACTAAATCTAAATAATAATAATAATAATAATAATAATAATAATAAAAAACTGACTTGTCGATGTGTATCATAATGATGACAGCTGGGAGAGAGAGAGAGAGAGAAAGAGTAGGTAGGACATGGAAAACAGGAGATATTGAGAATAATCTTTAAAAATGCAGTTCAGATGAATAAAAAAATATGAGTATTAGTAAGAGACAGAAGAACATAAATAAAAGAAAACGAGAAGATAGACGATAAAAGAGCGTGTACAGTTTACGCAATAATAAACATGATAAATCCATCAGAGTACAATGATAGTATATGAGTATACACAAACACACAGAGACAGGTTGAGAAAAGTAAATAGAGAATAGCAACACTACGGATATATAGAAATTATCTACGTATCTATCTATATAACTAAAAGAAAATCGATAATTAGTAAGCAACAACAGATGAGATAACGAATGAAACAACAACAACAACAAGCATACACAAACGTACATAGTCAAAACAATAATAAAGCTTGACAAAATCACAAGATCACAATGTGTATTACTACTATTTAATCAGTAGGCGTATTATAGCATAGCCAATATCATTGATAATATTGGTACTAATAGCAGTAGTATGTACATAGGTATGATGCATAAATAAGCATTAATAATAATCTAATTGCACTGGAAAAAAATCATAATCATAAAAGTAGCGGTTAGGGTCTAAAGAGAAATAATAATAATAATAATAATAATAATAATAATAATAATAATAAAGTACAGACTACATTGACAATACGGAAAACATTTCATATACGTTTGTATATATGCCTAGTATGATTGGTTACACAAAGATGATAGATATAGAGACTGAACAAACGGAAAACAGTTGACCGGCTAAAGAACAAAGAAACTCGAAGTAAATATAACTTAGAGGCTGAAGGTGACAGAAAGAGTAAAATGGTACTAACCATACATACATAAACGGATATACTTTGGCAAGAGTTGCGAGAGAAAGAAAGAGGATAATAACAATACGAACAATCAAGTGGGAGTTGTTGATCAATGTGCCGAAAAACATGATGGTATAGTTTATCAATTTGTGTATGCATTTATTTCCAAAGAGAATGGGGGCAACGAAGATGAAATTGATACAGTTGGAAAAATAAGTTGATCACAATAACGCTTAAAAGCTCCGATAAAAGCAAAGTAGGAATGTAGTACATAGTATCTGACGGCATAAATAACTCTATAAATATCACTGACAAAAAACCATTAGAGAACTAAGAAGACAAAAAGAGAAAGAAACATCCAAATTAAACGAAAACACGTGGTTTGTTCTGCTGCATTGCTAACAACGCTTGTGTAGCTTCGTGTTGCTGTTGGAGAACCAACTGAGAAGCATGCGCTTTCGGTTGCATAAAACCAACAATTTCAGTGTAATGAGATGATTCGTCTCTATGCGTTGGATCAGCGAAAGCAGAGGAATAACCGTCACGAGGATGAATGGATGAACGATTATCGCCAAGCCCATCTCCAACAATATCTAGACCTTGTGGAACAGAAGCAACAATTGGTCGTGGGTGTGGAGCTGGTTGTGTACTAGTCCCGAATAGAGTCATTGAAGACGAAGCAACACCATTACCACCACCAAGTGAAGTGCCGATACGCCCTTTCCTTGAGTTGACACTAGCATTGCGACCAGGACGAACATGATCGAAAGACAATTCCATATATTGTAATTCATTTACATTTGGAACTGTGCTAGGTGACATTTCATTCGAAGTCTGGGCGTAAACTAAATCATAGGTGTAATCAGGAACATCTTTGTAAATGTTATTCGGTAGTCCAGCCCCAGTCCCAGTTAATGTGGTAGTAGGATAGACACCACTAACTCCAGTCACGGAACTGTTCAGTGCATTACCTTGTCTAAGTAAAGCTCCGCCATCTGGTTGTTTCTGAAATGATATTAATGAAATAAATTGTCAATAAGCAAAGCGAAATTAATCAAAGATAGGAAAGAAAACAAACGAGATTTTATGGCAAATTAATCATTAATTTAGCTGCAAGACAGACAACGAACTGAATAACTGAACATTTACTGAGTGTTGTCAAAAACATACAGAGCATCGAACGGAAGAAAAACTCCATACAACTTAAAGTGTGTGTGTGTGTGCATAACCAGAAACCATACGACATACTATATAAAATATAAACGGAATGACTAGGAAATTTATACAAACACTTATCAGTTTATAAAGAAAATACAGCGTCATTACTAAAGGGGAAGCACACGTAACAGAAAGATATAATTGATCACTTTCAACATCAGAACGCAAACAAACATGCTTTTTAAAAAGAGTCGTACAGAGGATGTTTTAATTGAAATGCAAATCCCAAGACGATCCATTTGTATTTATTTTGTACATGTTCTAATCTCGATCATAATTATATCACCGAATACGACATACGACGTATGTCAATAATTAATGAATAAACTTAAGATAATCAGATTGACTATGGTTTTTTCTATACAAGATATATATATATATATATATATATATATATATATATATATATAGGATTATAAAAACACAACGGAAGAATGTATGAACAAATTATGAGCAAGTAATTTCTTGTCCGAATTCACAATGTACTGGTTGGATGCTGATTCTATGAATTATGATCGTTAACAGGAGCATTTCTAATACTGGTAATCGATTGGATAAACAAAGATAAAGGTAACAAGTGTCAGGAACATTTTAAGTCACTTTAAAATAAATAGATTGTCAACTTCTAATAGCAAATCAGAGTTAGTTTGACAACAAACGACTGATTCCTTAGGACATTGTTAACAGTTTTAATATTTGAACTAAATCCTATGATATTTCCGGAGAAAAAAGTACAATTTTTGCATAATATCGTCTCCATCATCTTTTCATATGGTAATAAGAGCGTTGATCTTTTCACTGTTCAAAAACTAAACTAGCTTACGTAGACGAGTTTTATTTTTATCATCCGTAAATAAAAAACTATGGCGATTCTAACAATGAAATTCATGGTTACGTTTCTCAAAGAGTGAGTAACTGTGGAATATCAAGGATGAACTTTATCGTCATCAACTTGAATATGCGATTAAAATGCAGTGGTGAAGTTCACACTGACACACAGAGCTCTATAGTAAGCCGCGCTCATGAATTTTATATACATCAACAAATATTATTAACTTAAGATTAAACATCAACAGTTCGAGGATATAAACATTTATGATGAATGATAATCATTAAGACTGATTGATCATGAAAAGGTAATGCAATCCAAAAGCAACATTCGACTCTATAGACCGAGAGGTTCTGTGGCAGTGTCTGTCATTGAAAGGCGTACCTCAGAAGTACATAAAACTTGTGCAGGATCTTTACTCGAACACTACTAGTCGGGTCAGAGCTTATGGCGAACTGTCATCCACTTTTGCAACTTCAAATGGTGCCCGTCAAGACTGTCCACTTTCCCCATTTTTGTTCGATTTCATCATAGACATACTGATGGAAATAACGTTCTCGTCGACTGAATTCTCGGGCATCGGTCTCCTTCCAGGAAGTCCACTTATTGACTTAGAATACGCAGATGACATAGTCCTGTTTGGTGAAGACGCTGATGAAATGCAGAGTCTTTTGGTAGCACTGAGCAACAATGCCGGAATGTTTGGGATGCGCTTCTCTCCCTCTAAATGCAAGTTGTTGCTTCAGGACTGGTCTGCGTCAACACCTGAACTAGGGATAGGGAGTGAAGTAGTCGAAAACATTGACAACTTCACTTATCTTGGAAGTCTGATCAGCCCTAATGGGTTGGTGTCTGACGAAATCTCAGCACGGATTCGAAAAGCTCGTTTGGCCTTTGCCAACTTACGTCATCTATGGCGAAGGCGAGATATCCGTCTATCAATCAAGGGACGAGTGTACTGAGCGGCCGTTCGTTCCGTTCTACTATACGGCTGCGAAACATGGCTTTTAAGATTAGAAGATACTCGTAAGTTACTAGTATTTGACCACAGGTGCCTTAGAAATATTGCTCGCATCTGCTGGGATCACCGGGTAAGTAATAGTGAGGTTAGACGCAGGGCATTAGGGAACGATGGTAAATCAGTTGATGAGGTTATGAATCTTCATCGACTGAGATGGTTGGGCCGTGTTGTGTATGCCTGAACACCGATTACCACGACGTGCAATGCTGACCAGTGTTGGGGATGGTTGGAAGAAAGTTAGGGGCGGCCAAACCAAAACGTGGCATCAGTGCTTGAAGTCACTAATTTCTGGTCTGAGCTATGTTGGTAGATGCAGACTGCCTGGTTGGGGTCCGCGTGACTACTGTAACCAATGGTTGGAGACTCTTGATGACATGGCTCAGAATCGATCACAATGGCGTCGGTGTATACACTCTCTGTCTTCCTTTAAACTAAGAGATTAAAATCGCTTCATATCTTTCTTTCTACGAACTAATTTTTTCTTCCTGTACTATCTTTTTATATGCAATCTTTCTTCTATATATTACCACCACTGAATTCACAAGTTCTATGAATCCGGTGTTCATCTTGTTGTGCCAATGCGGTATGGCAACTTGAACCGATGCATATATGTGCCAATTAAAATTAAAATCCAAACAAGATGATAGAACAAACAGATTTGAGAGAGTACTGTAAGGAACTAAGTGTCATAGAATAAGAAACAGTGGCAACTATTCAAGTTTAGAATAATTAAACGCATAAATGAAATAAAAAAAATGAAAGCTGCTGTGTAATACGTTGTATCACTAAATCTAAAATACTCAAAGTATTTCATTAAAGTCAAGAATATAAGATAGTTAAATATATTCCAAGAAAACCTGTTATTTGATTAGTGTGACAGTTGTAAGATATTGTTTCGAATCATTAGAAAACTAGACAACAGATTATTATTTAACAAAACACGCACATAAAATCTCAAAGTAGATATAATCTTATCTAATAACGAAATGATTATCGTCATCTGCCATTTTTCACAGCTTGTGACTGATACTTTAAACAACTCAACAATTGAATACTAGAAATCACCTTATAATCAATAGCCACTGAATGATGATTATATTCACTGGATACAATAATAATAATAATGCATACATAAACATATATTTCTATCAATATCATAAGTCCATAGTACCAATGTGGAATATTGTTAGGAAAGTGAAACAGTTCAAGTCTTAACATTCAAAACAAAAATAGTGACATGAATAAAAGCGAAAAATAGATAACCAGCAACAGCCTGTTCAGAGCTTAGAGAATCAATAATTTTAGGTGAACTTAATTAGAGAGAGGGTATTCAACAATCCATTTCTAACCGCTAAACCGCTAAGAATAAACGGAACAATTGTAATGGTCAATGAATCATACAGGTCGTGCATTTATTCCCACAGTCATAATAATCATACTACTGCTAATAATAATTTTATGCATTGCTATAAATTTTTTTACAGTCAGTAATTCTTAGCAATATTGTATGTAATAAGGTTTTCGCTAAGGTGCATTTGAATTGTGGTGATACAAAAAATTATACTCCATAAATATGATTCCAATAGTCAATATTATCAATTGAGCTTCAATGGTGAAGGAAGTCTACAATCGGTTCAAATGCTATAACTATTCTTTTTTATCCATCAGGTATTGAATGCTTAAATTCTAGTATATTTGTTCATAGTTTTTTTCAAAGAGCAGAAAACGAGGAGAATATATCAACAAGTGATTTGAGATTTTCTATGTGACAAGTTGTAAGTGTTTCCTATTACTGAATGAGTACACACAGTAAAAATTCATGGTTATTCGATGTAAACAAATTTGAAATATGAAACAAATATATTGGTAAAAGACAATATATTTCCCAAAATGAAGGATATTCGTTTTCAAAAGAACAATGTGTAATATTTTAACATTGACTAAATAATTGTTTCACTTTAGGTTGAACAAAAGATTCAAAATTATGTAAATAATCACATAATTCAATTTTCATTGTTAATTTTTTGACAACCGTATACTATAAATCCAATAAAAATTTCACAATATGAACAATTCAAGGGGAGAACCTTTGTATAATTTTAAACTTACCAATACAAAGTATAAAGTGGTAGTGAATTAAATATTTTATAAAAAGGATAATATATTAATTGCTCGTAATTCGACTAATCAAACCAGAATAAATAGAATGAGAAATTTCAATACTCTTAAATGTACTCAGGATTTTGTTCAACAATAAAACATATTAGGATTTATAAATCAATAAAATATGAACAATTTGGGTTATAATCTACTGCGTTTAAAGTTGTATTGATTAATAACAGTGGCGTGAATGAACTCATGTTTTTCTTTTTAATGAGATAGTTACAATCTGCAGAAAATATATCACTAAAATTAAACTAATACAAAGCAATGAAATTATTCAATAGTTTGATAAAACATTAACTTATCAACATAACTTGAGCTCTGAGAAATAAATTTAAAGGTATACGACTACCAATAATTATAACCGGTTGTCTAATATGAAGGAAATAAAAGTGTTTGTACCTGGGATCTATTGGTTAGTTATTAATAAAGAAAGGATTAGTCTTTGCGATCAATGTATATAAAAAGTTATACTAGGATTAAAAATGCCAAACCTAATTGATCATATATCTGCAGTGATTTAAACTAGTCAACTGTCAGCGGATTAAACACTAAAGTGGATTCGTTTTTTTATATATACATTTATAATAACTAACATAAGTCGATAGTAGAAGACAATCAGTAAGACAAAATAGACCTCGGTTAAAGAAAAAAAACTACCAATATCCCCAAAGAGTGCAAATACGCCTTAGTGATATGCAACAAGTAGCATGAGACATAGGTTAAACACGATTCATGTCATTTGTATCTGGCTACTCAACGTGAATACCAAGGACCTTATATCACACTAATTACTATGATATATATATATATATATATATATATATATATATATATATATATATATATATATATATATATATATATATATATAACCCAAGTATTTTGACCATACTTTTCATCGTTAATACAACTGGTGATCTGTAGTTATTCCACAGAAATCAATTAAATATTTTCTTTGTATTTATTCACTTTATAAATTTAAAGTGAACACAAATAAAAAAGACTTTGAATAAATAGTTAACTTTTTTAAGTCATAACTAACATCCTTTGGATAAGAAAGCACGGAATATATTTTTTTTGTTCTACATTGAAATTTAACAACAACAACGACAATACGCACATACTCCAAGTGATAAGAAACTGGACTTTTAAGTTTCTCATTATTGAGTATGAAATTTGACAAGAGTTAATTTACAATTTAACACGATATTCATTTTATATTATCGATGAGTTATTTGTTTTAATTTTAACTTTATTCATTGTCTACTTTTCACTTAGTACGGAGAATAGGATTATCAGAATTCATTTACATGATTTTATACAGATTTTTTTTTGTACAAATTGAACGTTACTTTTAAAGAAAATTTGTATATA